AAACTAAACCAAACCATTTGTGATTCTAGGAAAGCACCAAAATCCCTCCTAAACCAAACTAAACCAAACCATTTGTGATTCTAGGAAAGCACCAAGGTCCAAACCAGCCCAACCCAAAGAATTTGTGGTTCTAAGAAAGCACTAAGGTCCAACCCAAAGAATTTGTGATTTGAGGAAAGCACCAAGGTCCCTCCCAACCTAAATGAAACCGTTTGTGATTCTAGGAAAGAGCTAAGGTCCAACCCAACCCAAACCAAACCAAAAAATTTGAGATTCTAGGAAAGCACCAAGGTCCAACCCAAAGAATTTGTGATTCTAGGAAAGCACCAAGATCCCTCCCAAACCCAACCAAAGAATTTGTGATTCTAGGAAAGCACCAAAATCCAACCCAACCCAGCCCAAAGAATTTGTGATTGGAGGAAAGCACCAAGGTCCAACCCAAAGAATTTATGATTCTAGGAAAGCAGCCCCATCGCTGTTTGTGTCCCGTCCTCACTGCTCCCTGCCCTTGTCCCCAGTCTCTCCTCAGCATCCCGGGCTCCCCGTTCCTGTCCCGCCACAACAGCAAGAGCAGCATCTTCAGCTACAAGGGCCGCTTCCGCGAGCCCGTGTCCGAGAACGAGTTCGCCGACGACGAGCACAGCACGGTGGAGGAGAGCGAGGGCCGCAGGGACTCGCTCTTCATCCCCATCCGGGGCCGCGACCGGCGCAGCAGCTACAGCGGCTACAGCGGCTACAGCCAGGGCAGCCGCTCGTCGCGCATCTTCCCCGCGCTGCGCCGCAGCCTCAAGAGGAACAGCACCGTGGATTGCAACGGCGTCGTGTCCCTCATCGGGGGACCCCCGTCCAGCATGCCCGGGGGCCGCATCCTGCCCGAGGTGCGTGTGCCGTGGTATGGGGAAAACGGCTGCTGCTGCTGCTCATCTTCCTCATCCTTATCTTGCTCTTCCTCATCCTTATCCTGCTCCTCCTCTGCCTCATCCTTATCCTGCTCCTCCTCTTCCTCATCCTTATCCTCCTCTTCCTCATCCTTATCCTCCTGCTGCTGCTCTGCCTCATCCTTATCCTCCTCTTCCTCATTCTTATCCTCCTCATCCTTATCCTCCTGCTCCTGCTGCTGCTCTTCCTCATCCTTATCCTCCTCCTCTTCCTCATCCTTATCCTGCTCATCCTTATCCTTATCCTCCTCTTCCTCATTCTTATCCTCCTGCTGCTGCTGCTCTTCCTCATCCTTATCCTCCTCATCCTTATCCTGCTCTTCCTTATTCTTATCCTCCTGCTCCTCCTCTTCCTCATCCTTATCCTCCTCTTCCTCATCCTTATCCTCCTGCTCCTCTTCCTCATCCTTATCCTCCTCCTGCTGCTGCCCCTCATCTTCCTCCTGCTCCT